TAGAATCATAGTTTCTTAGTATTTTGAATGGAACCATAGAGGTTGTCTTAACTTTGTGATTATGGCCCACAATAAGAAATAGATTTCACATCATAGCCTAGAACACACATATATGTGTGTATACAAACAACTAAAATAAAAGTTACACAAATAGTTATTTACTCTTGCCAATGGACAGTACACCGATATTTTTACTTTATTCCATTATATAGCATTTCTTACGCTGATAACTATACACTAAATTGATTTTACAACTTGCTAATGGGTCTGAAGTCTCAGTTTGAAAACCACTGTTGTAATGTAACTTGTAAACCTCTTCAGTAACCAGCTGTTGTGGAAAAATGATTGATCTTTCTCAATCTGCATTATAGATTTTACTTCTTTACGTGTATGTGTTTCAGGATCATCCAGATGCTTGGTCTTTGATTGGTAATCTTCATTTGGCAAAACAAGAATGGGGTCCAGGCCAGAAGAAATTTGAGAGGATATTAAAACAACCATCCACACAAAGTGACACTTATTCTATGCTAGCCCTTGGCAACGTGTGGCTCCAAACTTTGCATCAGCCCACTCGAGACCGGGAAAAGGTAACCTTATTTTGTCTTTTTAAACAAAACTGATTCTCTTCATTTTTGGCTTGAAAATTTTTTAATAGCATTTGGTTTTTTTTAATAGGAAAAGCGTCATCAAGATCGTGCTCTGGCCATCTACAAACAAGTACTCAGAAATGATGCAAAGAATCTGTATGCTGCTAATGGCATAGGTGATTATAAGACCTGAGTATCCATAATGATTTGTAAAATGAATGCTTTCAGAGGAATGTTTGTAGAGCAGAATTTTTCTTTAAGTGTAATAAATGTAGTTGTTTTAAAATAGGACTTTTAGTTGTTTTTCTGGCTACGATTAGAAAATTCTTAAAAATGAATCTTCTTATAACCTTAGGAGCTGTTTTGGCCCACAAAGGATATTTCCGTGAAGCTCGTGATGTTTTTGCCCAAGTAAGAGAAGCAACAGCAGATATCAGCGATGTTTGGTTGAATTTAGCACACATCTATGTGGAGCAAAAGCAGTATATAAGCGCTGTTCAGATGGTAATGTCTTATCTTTTGAGATATTTTTATATTATGTTAATTCTTGAGCAGATGTTTTCCTTAACCATTCTGGCCCTGTCATGGAGCTGCATATTATCTCTTGTGATACTCTGTCTATTCAGAGGTTTATAATTATATAGGGTTAAGACCAGGATTTGGTGTCCAGAGATATTAGTCCTGGTTCTACCACTAATTGCACACCTTGGGCAAAGGACATCCTCTCTGAAACAGTTTCCTTATGTATAAAATGGAGATAATTGTACCTTAACCTCGTAGAATTTTATGAGGATCCAGTACGAAAAGTACTTGGCACTAACACACCTAGCATATTAGTAAGTACCTAGTAAATAGTAGGATTTAATATTCGTTTGTTCAGTTTCTGAAACTAAGCTGAGTTTTAGAAAGGTTAAATGACTTTTTAGAAAAAGAAAAACTCCATGGGGATAAGGTTTCATGATTG